GATGGTCATTCAGAGACACAAGTAATGGTCATTCAGAGATACAAGTAATGGTCATTCAAAGATACAAGTCATGGTCATTCAGAGACAACAGTAACTGCAAATCAGTGATATTAGTGACAATCATTTAGAGATAAAAGTAATGGTTAATCGGAAATAAAAGTAATGACATTGAGGGTTCTATAAATGCTTGATTTTGATGAATTGTTAACATTAAAAGGCCACCATTCAGCTACCTTGAATCAGATCATGAAATGAATAGACATGCATATGTATCCAAATATGTATGATGTATGTGTGAAGTTTGAATGTAATCAATCCAGGCATGTCTGAGATACATGTCTGTTTAACAGGGACATATTGCAGTAAAATGTACTTACTTTCATTGGCCTTGGTGAAAATGTCAATGCTTGTCTAAGACAATCTAATGATTTCTCTCCTTCTCCTTCAACTCTCCAGTACAATGCAGCCATATTAGCAAGGACCCACGAAGATTGGTTACTTGTCAAACCAAGTGCTATTCTAGTACCAACAATCTCATAGTTCTCATGTTCACCACTCAATGTCTGTAATACCTACAATTAATGTTAGCCATTATCAGATAAATGGGCACAGCAAGTTACAAACCTGCTCATGAAATGTTAGTTAGTAACTTAACACTATAATTCACTTGCACTGCCAAACAATCATTAATAATGGTGTAAGATTCATTAAAGAGATTTATAAATATAAGGACCAACTTACTTCTTTAAGCCCTTGTTCAGCTGAATAATCAATCTGATCTCTTTCTACTAATCCTTTTAGATGGTCCAAGGTAAATAAACTAGGGCCAAGAGCTGCTTCACAGAATGGCTCCATGAGTACACCATCAGGAATGTTCATACGGAAATTAATGTGCTCATGTAAACTGTAATGATAATATATATATCAAATCATCAATAGACAAGTTTGGGGTTCTCTGATGATGAGGCTAAAAACATACACATTTTAGTGTTAATCCTGTAACCAATTGGAAAAAGTGTTAGTATATTGCGGCAATTATGCACATTTCACAACACCAGCTATGAAAATTAACCAAATGTTTGTTAAAATATGATGAATATAATTTTCATTTAGAAGCACTGATGAAGCAGAACTTGGTATCAATACTACCGGTATTATTCAATGCAATCTTTTTGATACATGAAAAATGGCAGTATATAACCAATGCAAATTGGAATCAATACAGATGTGTGCTCTGTAACATAGAAAACAGTTAACTGAAGTTTATTAAGTTACATTTGTTATGTTGTCTTGTATTTGAGATTTCCATTTAATGCTACTTACTCTACTTCCTTTGCAGTAACTGACAGCCATGTACTGGTAAAACCTTGCACATTGATCTTCTTTAGATTTTTACATTCTTCTAATGTTGGCCACGAGTATTCTGTAGAGTCGATGATCAGAAATAAATCTAGCAATGAAAGAAATACACGTCATCAAACACACAGTAGCTGCATTCATAATGTTTGAAAACAATTATACCTTTTAGCAATATTTGCTCATACAGATTTTTCCTAAGGGCAATGATAACAAAAAGGCTTCATTAGATTACATGGAAGGGTTGTGGGTGATCTATGTTTTTAAAAAGCTTCAATCAGTTGTACATGGTTGATGATCTGTGGTTCTGTTAATATGCTGTCTATATGGAAATTACTTTAAATTTATCTTTTATAAATTAAGCCCAAATAATATTCATGTTTCAGACATTTGAAAAGTATTAGTATCACAGCTTTTTTTTAGTCAGAATTTTATAATAGAATTAAAGGAAAATTATTTTTTCATGAAAAATACGAAATTTAATGAAAATTTCAGAATAAAAATCAAAAGCCAACAGCTAGTGGACATAAATTGTTGTCCTTAATTTTAGGTGCAGATACAACATCCACATTACATTGGAGACTAACAGGGCAGTTGGTGACACCACTGTCTTCAAGATATGTTAAGATAAATATGATGGAGCTAGACATTTTTTCACTCTGCAAGTTACAAACCAGTTTATTTGTCTTTGATCTCAGCAATAAATATTTTGTACATGATATTTACAACTATTTGGATTTTTTGTCCCATAATTATCAAACCCGTTTAGCATGTAGCTTGAACTACTATACTCCAAAACTGAATCTTACACTCAACCAACACAGTTTTAAATACTCTGCAACAAAACATTGGAACTCTTTGCCTGATGCATTTAAAACCATCACTAGGAGACATATATTCAAAGCAAAATTAAAAAACTATCTCTTAAAAATTTGATTTGTAATATTTTTTCTCTTTCTCTCTTTATTTGGAGATTTGTGTGATTAAACTATGAAATTATATATACAGGGGTTACGGACTCGACTAGTTCTGATGAACTATATCTGTAATCCCCACCAAAAAAAAAGAAAAGTTATCTAAAGTAGAATTCGTTATTTATTTATTTATTTATTTATTTATTTATTTATTTATTTATTTATTTATTTATTTATTTATTTATATGTATTTACTACCTGTGCAACTTCTACCTTTACCGTTGTTTTTTTCTTGTTTTTTTTTGGTGAAATAAATTTCATTCATTCATTCATTCATTCTGATTGGGTTCACTGTGAATATATGTTGAAAAGACATTCAACAAATCACAAAGAGGTTTTTTGTGTATAGTAATCTGTACTTGTACAGACATACCATCAGCTTCCTCTATATTATTCTCACCATCATTATTACTATTCTCTTTTCCTTTTTTTTTAGTAGCATTATCACTGCTTGTTTTCTTGTTCTTGGTGCTTGTGGAAGATGCCTTCACATTGACAGTCACCTAATAAAAAAAAAACATGAAACAAAATATACCTGTATGTCTGATGTGAGATGTATGTGTGAAGTTTGAATTCCAGGCATGTTGAATATATGAATCAGGAGATTCAGGGAAGTCTAAAAAATCAGCCAAATCAAGCCAAGCCAGCCTAAATCCTACATGTTATTGCGACAATATCTATGACTACACTGATACACTACAACAATTCTACATTATATTCAATATTTACCTACAATCTATAAACTTACCATCTTCTTTCCTTCCATGTCACTTGATTTCAAATTGATTGTATGCTGTTCATCACTAAGTGCTTTAGCAACTGGAGCAAGAAGTTCTAGACTCTCCTCAAGATCTTCTATTTGATTCAAATCATCTTCATCTATTTCAATAATCTCTAGAGCATCTGTAATACACTGATGCGGGGGCACAGGCCCTGTATGGCACTGGAAACCCTTTCCTTCTTCAGTCTGGGAACATGAATGACATCGTTTATTTCCAGAGCATCCATTACAGGGAGTAGGTTCTTGGCCACCACACATGTCTTTTGGCGGATGAGAAGTACACGTTGTTGTACATATGCCAGGACAACCAGCTTCCTCAGGAGAGATTCTACGTTGTCGAGTCTCCATCTGACACTGTTCTACCCCTTGTACATGATGACAGACTATACGTCTTTCAGTCTGGCTGCTAGTACTAGTTGATGGTGGTCGCTGACACATGCTAGGATCACCAGAACTATCATCACTACTACCCTTTGCAGCACAATGAAACTTTTCATGGCATTTGATTGTATGGAGGGTTTTGAAAGCTAGTTCAAAATTAGAGTCTAGATCCAATGTCGTGATGTATTCATGTGCAGCCCCACTGTAGTTTACTTGAGCTGCAAGTGCATTGCCATACGTGAAATGAGAAACAGCCTGTGAACATAGTAAACATTATACACAGATTAGGGTACAGATGCATATTTCTGACATTGGAAAAAGTTTTCATTTAAGAGTTTTCATGATGTTGAGAACAAATTAAATATTAAATGGGTTCTGATCAGAAATAAATCGAATGAATAATATAGTTTTTTGGAGATTTATGAAAATCTTAATTGATAAGATTCGCTGTACTTCTTGAGAACTGAACCATATACAATATATAGTATCGTGACCAGCAGTAATGGAAATGAATGATCATTCATCTGGTAATATGGTAAACCTTGTTTTCTATGGCATTGCGTAATACTGGTTTACATACCTCAGCATGATTAACATCAACAGCTCTCTTTAACAGAGTAGCAGCATCTTTATAACTGCCAACTCTCAACAGAATATTAGCTAGATTTACTAGTGGTACATCTAGATATTCTTCTGGTGCAAAATATATTGATCTTCTCAAGCATTCTACACCATGGTAATTATTACCAATGACTCGCCAATATAAACCAGCCAAGTGGTATAATATCCATTTAGATTCTTTGTTCTGCAAAGGAATCATACTTTCATATCAAATTTCACACACTATTAGCATCATTGAAACCTTTAATAAAATTTAAAATGTGATTTTCAAAATATCATTTTCATGCTTGATATACAGTTTACCATTTGTCAAATAGTATAAGACAGAAATGAATAGTAATGACTTTACATGCTTGCAATAATGAAATAAACAACAGTAATTTAGCAAAATCAAACACTAAAATGGCCGACAAATTTGTTCATTTGACAAAGTTTATAGATAAGGAAAGACCAAGTTAATAGGTTTAAATTTTACTGTGATTTTCGCATTAGTGACCAAAAGAAAGAAACATGAAATACTTGTAGATGACACTACATGAAAGAGAGTTCATGAAGAGAAGAGTTTGAAATACTAATTGAGTAAGTTTTCTACCAACCTCCTTGAGAGCTGTCAAGATACGCTGACCAACCTCTTCTTCTGTTACATCACCATCATTCACTAAACTCAACAATATCTGCAAGAAATCAAGGCAGTAGGATTTAGGATTTGATTTTAAGTTCATGTTTTACTGAGTTCCATGAATATGCAATTTATGATAATAAAGTGATGTTGAGTGAGAATTACTTTTATTAGTATTATGGGTTTAGGGATAAATTGTCAACTTTCATGTCAACAAGTTATATCATGGCATGAGTCCCTGTTAGTTCAATAGTAAGCAAAACTTGAAATGAGTCTTGAATCAGAATATGAAACAAATGACATGATGTACAATGTAGTTTTAAATTTGATTGCGATCAGTGGATGTATGTAAGAGACATACAAATCTGAAAAAAATATATGTCCAAAGTTTGAGCAAAATTCATTCACGCAACAAATTGGTTTTAGAATAGCAGAGACGCTTGACTTTGAAATTATAAAAATAGCCACCATGCTGCCATCTTGAATTGGATTAGAAAATGAATGGACGTGCATATGGTAAGATTTATGATATGCATGTGAAGTTTGAATGTGATTGACCAAGGCATATCTGTGATACAGGTTCGAACGGATGAGCAAACCTATGGATACACACAAGTCCATAAGTCTTTATTTGAATGGACACTAACAAATACATGCAAGATATGTAACCCAGATCAAACATGGAGTGGTGTGTGGGAGAGGGGAAGTAATGACAGGATTCATCATGAATCATTTCAGAGAAATCAAATGTCCTGCTACCAATGGCAAAACTAACCTTCTTAACATTATGATCAGGCATCTTAATTGGTATTCTTTCTCTATTAGCAATACCATTCAACGAATCTACAGAGGTTACAACACCACTTAAATCATCAACATGCACACATACTGGTGGATACCATGGCAGAGGATGCTCTTCACCGGGTCCACTTACTAATCCAAGATCTTCTGTTAGCAGAGGTTTCACACTGTAAATGAATTAAGGTTAATTAAATAAAAAAAAACATATTATGTATAATATATAAGTACAATGTAATAGACCATGTTAAATGAAAGTAAAGTAGAAACTATTAGCACTCTCCATACAGATGACAGATATTGAAAAAATTGAGCTTATATAAAAATACACAAGACAATTGAAAGTGCATAGTACTAGAAGCAGAACTGATATTCCTATTCCAGGGTCATTTGCATTTGCCACATGGCCTGGTACCATCATTCTTAATGTCCTTCATAATAAGACCACTGATTGGTTTTCTTTGGAAAGCTTGCAGACTGAACAAGTCAAGGTTGTATTTCATATATGAACATTGTGATTCAGCAGATTTATCAAAAATGTTTTTTTTTTTACTACTGAAAACATTTTTTTGGAGGGATAGAATTACTGTATAGTCTGTTTTTTTCTTGTGCGTATTTCTTTTTCATCTCCAAATTTTAAATGACCTACCACTGAAAAATAATTCCACTTACTGAAAGCCTTTATTTTCTGGTGGTAGATATGTTGACTGATATTCTCTCCAAACTGGTAGACCTTTATAATTCATATCACAGTCAGTTTTCTTAGGCCAATCTTTATCACGATACTCAGCATTGGGATTTGGCTGTGGTTTGATATCCTCTGTTGCCTCAGGTACATCAATTACCTCTTCCTCTGCCAGGTGATGCACATTAAAACAATCATTCTCTGCCTGCTTAATAAGTTAAACAGACTGATGGTTTGTTTCTTTTGCATGCAATGATTTGTTAAACTTATAAAAACAGAACAGACAACATCTCTGCCAGCCAAGGTTCATTTATTTGGCAATAGTCTCACCATTATACTTATAAAACCGATGAAATCAAACACAATGTTGTGATGTGTTTCTAATGCGAAGTCACATGTTTTTATCAGTTAAGTTATGCTGTTATATAAAATCTATTGGATATGAATAATATTTTGAAAATAGTCCTTTAGTGACAATATCTGATTAAGATAGTGAACAGGAGAGTAATAAGTGAATACTCACCCCACTGGCTCTCTTCAGACATTCAATATCAGGGTCTCTGTCGTCTGAAGCTACAATTTGCTGCAAGACAAGAAATATATTATATTATTATTATATTACTATAGAATTGAAAAAATCCACACACCAGTGTAATACAATATTCCATAGTTATCAAGATGTGAAGATATGAAAAACCCACCAAGTACATTTATGAGATTGGCTAAGAAAAACTAAAAACATTACAAGTAATGAAACGCATACAATTCTTATTCCCAAATTAAAAAGCATGTCTGCAAAAAAAGTA